ATATAAAGTCAGGCAGGAGAATAAGCTAAAAGAATGATAGATAGAGATTGCTATTATATTTCTCTTTATGTTGTATCAAGAATATTTTAACTGATCGAGTGAGGATTATGTAATCATACGTTGAATATAATAATACAAGGAAGGTTATTGTAAGTTATATGTGGTTTTATTCTTTAATCACGTCTGAATATTTTTTTTTGAAGGAAAAAACTTTGGGGTGTGACAGACTCAGACTGCCGTTCAGTTTTCTATCATAATGAAATACATGAGGTGTAAGTGCTTTGGGTATGGGGATGAGGTATCTTTATCGCTATATATAAATTTTCATCTGTGATCAATTTGACCCAATTTTGTGTATCGAAAATAAGAATTCCTCAATTAGATATATTCTAACCATATCATGTGCAACTTACATGTGGCACCAATAATTTCTGAATTTACCCATAAGCCCATAACCGGAGTACTTATAACTCACGTGCTTCAATTTATGATAAAAAATTGGACAGTAGTTTGGGCGAGGTCCACATTGCTACCACTTTATAACATTAAGTGTGAAAATTTAGATTTTTAATCTTTAAGGGTACAAAATGAGAATCATAGCATCTTTCGGGGTGCAAAGGAAGAATATCCTTTATAAATTTATCCTTCTAATTTTTCATCCAACTTACCTAACAAAAAGGAAAAGGAAGAAAAATATATTTCTTTCTTTAATGGATGGAAAGTTGATTTCATCCATTTTTTCTTTCCTTCTATTTTTCATCATTCCTCCCAAACAGACCATAAAATGATTAATGTCTATTTGTCAGTTCTCCTTGTTTTTGTTATTTATATATTCCATGCCTAAAAATGTTTCTTTGATGGATGGGAAGTTGATTTCATCCATTTTTTCTTTCTTTTTATTTTTCACCATTGCTCCCAAACAGACCATAAAATGATTAATGTCTATTTGCCAGTTCTTCTTGTTTTTGTTATTTATATGTTCCATGCCTAAAAATGACTTTGAGCATTTGCAGAGATTATTTGTTGGAGTTAGTGTTATCAAAATTGGATCAAACATCGAACCAATAGAGATATTGGGTCAATGGTTTGCTAATTCAACTGGTCGAACTATTCGTAATAAAAAAAAATTATAAAATTATAAAATATAATAATTTAGCTAAAAATTTACGATCACAATAAAAATCAAGTAGTGTATTGTGTGCATCTTTATTGCTGAATCTGAATGTGTGTATTAACTGTGCATATTCATATTGATAGTGTGTGTGTGTGAGTGAGATGAGAGAGAGAAAGAAACAGAATACCCAGGAACAACAAACTAGCATGTGTGTGTGTGTGAGAGAGAGAGAGAGAGAGAAGACCTAGTAACTTAGGAGGAGAAGGAGAAGAAGAAGAAGGCTTACACAAATAAATCTAGATGATCTATGATATGGCCATTGTTCGAGAGCTAGATCTGGAATTGGAATGAGACGAAGAAGACGAAAGGGTGCTGGTGGAAGGAATCAGAGAAGACGAAGGGGCTACCGGCTGGTTTTAATTTTTGAACGGGCGGTTTTAGGAGTTTTCAGTTCACCCATTTTTGCTAAAATCAACTGATTTTCTGGTGTTCTAACAGTTTAATTCTTTAGCAGTCTAACTAAAGAATTAGATCGTTTTAGATTCATGTTCACAGTTCAACTGATCCGATTATGATAATACTAGTTAGAGTAGTGTATGGTACTGAAAAAAAATTTAACACTATACTGTCATTAATAACTTTTGTGAAAACTCATGATTAATCCAATTTTAGGATTGATTGCAAGTTAAGTGAAAAAAATAAACACAAAAGTTATAACTTTTTTTTTTTATAAAATGATCCACGTAAAAACATGGATAAATTTTATTAACACCCCCTAAAAATAACCTAATTACATAAACACCCCTATAATTTTTAAAATATCACAGTCAGCTCATGTCAGATTTTGTCTTTAATAGAATGAATGGAAGTTATATTTTTACACAATTACCCTTAACAAAAAAATCACTTTTGCCCATTTATCCACCATCCTTGTGCAATTCATTTTCACTCTTTCTCACGCACTCCATCAAATTAGTCTTTTTTTGTCAGGAAAAACAAGTTCTATTAATATTATAGTGAACTTTTACATCCTGATGCGTTCACCCTATTCCACTTTAGCATCTTATCTAACAACGTTAACCACTGAGGGACAAAAGTATCCATTCCCTTCACATTGATTTTCTCACTCCTAACATAAGATGTAAGCATATGAGCAACCGTGTTCGAGCAACCGTGTTCTGATCCTCAAATTAGCCTTCAATCCCTTTAATTTTATATTTAATATCATCAAAGTTAATGTTCAATTAATGAGTGTGTTTTGTGTGTACGTGTATGTGTGTATTGATATCAAAATTCAAGTAATTTTGATTTTAGTTTGACATTAGAATCAAGTTCGAAATCAAAATTGTATGTGTGCTAATGTTTTTTGAGTGACCAAAATGGGGGGGGGGGAAGATTGAGACTTGTTTGTGTGTAAGATTAATATTGTATAAAAAGAAAATAAGGATATTGGCGTATAGGAATAGTATTTTCAAATTTTTATTTAAAGAGAAAAATTGTCATTTAAAGATAGAGATACACAAAATTCATCACTTTTTAGCCTTGTCAGTAACAATCTTGATGGTAGGGGTAGTATGTAAAATAAGCACATAAATTACAAGGGATGACAATGATATGTCAATAATTATAAGGAGTGTTCTTATAATTAGACTATATTCCAAGAAATGTTAATAAGCTTATCCTAATATAAACCAATGGCTTGTCTACGGTGGGGAAGAAAAAAATTTCAGTACTATATTGAATTTTATGATATTTGTGGATATTTTTTTTATTGTTGTGGTATCGAAAAATAGTAAAAATAATACAACAAAAGTGATAAAAATATTCACAATGGTAATAAAAACGCCTACTAGTAAATCACCCATAAAAATGATAAAATTAGAAGAAAATTTCAACCACACCCCTTCTAATTTATTGTATCTTCAAAAATACTCCCTTTATTTTTAAATCTTCATTGACACTACTGTGAGATTAAAAATGTTAATTATAATTTAATTTTATTAAATTTTCCATAATATATTTGAGAAAAAACTCCATCTACACCTTCTCTAGATATACATATCTTTAATGAAACCCCCCTCTATTTTCTAAATTTTTTGATATATTAAAATTATATTTTTTTACGTATTACAATTTTGAACCAATTAAAAATTATTTTTAATTGGCATAAATCAAATTTTAATCAACTTGCATTGAAATTTAATCGATCTAAATTTTGAAACATAAAATAAAATATAAATTTTAATCAACTCATATTTTAATGAATTGAATTTTAATTGATAGAAATTTTAATAAGTAAAAAAATATAAATTTTAATGAAATCAAAATATATTTTAATCGACAATAACATCTCAGATACAGCTCAAATCAACTCTAATTTTAATACATAAAAAAATTAATAGACTCAAATTTTAATACGTAAAAAAAAAAGAATTTAATCAGCTTGAATTGAATTTTAATTAATTTAAATTTTAATCAGCTCAAATTTTAATATGTAAAAAAAATTTAACTAACTCGAATTTGATAAAAAAAAATTATTTAGGTTTAATGCAGGGATTGACGTATCCTTATCCCTTTGCTCCATCGTCCAGGAGGGATGAGGAAGCTGCAGATCATGTGTCAGTGACATGACTTGACTTCGCGTGGTCTCATGACTCATCCACAACCACTGTTGTTGTTTTGTTCGATCGTTGTTGTACCAAATGTATGGACCACCCTATCTCGTATCGGAAAATCTTGGAGTTAGATGTGTATATAAGGTTTTATTGACACTATCACTTTTAAGTGATGGTGTTGTAATGGTCCCGTGTGTGTTTATCGTTATTTTCAAAAAAAACAAAAAAAAATGTATGGACCACTCTACTTTCCGAAACAAAATGTATGGACCCTCATGTCTGTTCCATAGGTGCATTACGAGGGTATTATAGCCCTGATTCAAATGAATATGTCGTCAATACACCATAAACACTGTAATTTAATTATTTGCGGGTTGATTCGATTTTGTTTGGATTGAAATATTATATTTGGTTATCTCTCTTTTACACCATTTTTAGTCGGTTAAAAAAAAAAAAAAGGAACACTCATCCACCAGATAGGTTATGCCAAATACTGGCCTCATCGATGAAAACAATAAGGGTACGAAACATAGTTGGAAGTATAATTCGATACAAATACAATTTGGTAGAGTTAATTCCAACTCAATTTCAAGTTTTTTTGTAAATTACGAGTCTCAGACAATTTGACCAAATTATGTGAAATGTCTTCGAGTAAGCCCTATGTCACGTCATTGAGTCAATCAAAACTATTATGTAATTCTATGGTATAACTTAAATTTCTTCTTATGTTCAACTAGTTCTCATATACAATATTTTATATTTTCTCACCCAATACCATTCTACAATTTTGAGACCAACGTGTCTTATTGTTCTCTAAATCCACTACCGATACTATTGGAGCGATGACAAATGTTATTTACTTAAGTTTTGTCTGAAGTAAGAGTGAAAACCTACCAAATTAAATCGAAAGATTGTTGTGAGCATTTTCCGAGCTAGGACTGTTATTTCAAACACTCTGGATGTCAAAGAACTGTCTTTATTGTTTACAGAGATAGAAAGGCTTGTAAAGCCTAAAGAGATCAAGACTAAAGGGGAATTCTTCTTCAGAAGTCATACAAGAACATCTGGAATAGTGGCATGTGGCCGGCGTCTAAGCAAACGGTCAACGACAAACTCCTATCAGTCGTAGGACTCGGTAATATGTATACCGTGCCCTCATATAGGATGGTTGCCGGTCCCATGAAAATGGGTCTTCCCCACCCGAAATCTGCATCGTACACGGGCAGACAAGTCCAACTGTTGATGTTGAGATTAGGGCTAGCAAAATACTGCTACCCTCTAACGAGGTCTGCTCGATCAGGCTGCACCTCAAGGTAGTCGAGAGCTGATCTCAAGTACTCGTTGTCCATCTTTGTCATGGCATTGTGAATTCTCTTGGTAGAGGTTGATAATGGTTCGGATTGAAGATCACCGGAGAGGGCAATGGGCGTGGCAGTGAAGATCACATTGCCTAGGTAGCCTGTTGGGAGTGGTGGACACAACCAGGACCGACCATCCGTGGCCGTGAACAGCTTGGTCATTTGCTGTTCCAAGAGGTCCTCTGCCTTGCAGGCACAGCGCCATATGTGTGCTGCTAGAATAGCATAGCTGCTGATAGTATCCACAATAATTTCCAAGCATGAGGTCGGACGAGGAGGTTAGACCAAGAGATCAAATAAGCAAGTCTGGAAAAGAAGTCAGGAAAGACACGCAGAGCCCAAGTCAGAGCTAGAGCTTCCTCTCTAGGTGCGCCAACAGCGGAAGTGATAAGGAAATAGCTGGATGATAACAAAAATCTATTAGGTGGCAAAGAGTCATACTCAAGGCATAAAATCCTTAATTAGCCAAGATCCTCTCCTAAGATTAAGGAGAGTTTCTCGGGTAAATAGCAAGAATCTCGGTGCAGATTTCATAGAACTAGGAATAACCCTATAAATATTATGTAACTCTTCCAAAGCAGGCAGAGAACCCTAATAACATATATTCTATCCTGCAAACCTTCTGAATAGTTAGAAAAAAGAAAATGAGCAAAAATCTTCATTGAGAAGTGGACTAGTCAAGCTTCCGAACTGATGAACCACTATATTTTTATTGTGCAAGTCTCCCCCCAATCCCCTAGGAATCTCAAACACGAACTACACGAGCCCCGTAGCTCAGATCCCAATTACCGAGTGTAATCCATTCCCTTTGCTCATACACACTAATTTACACCATCAGTTTGGCGCCATTTGTGGGAACAATTGTTCTTGTTACAAATACGCTGATCTTTCAGTGACTGATGGTTTCAACCCGTAACATGAGCAGAAGCCAGACCAATCTACCATGGATGCAAGAACAACAGGAAGCCACCAACGACAGACAGTCTAAGAACGTCCTAGAGACAAATCCCCCCATAGGGAACCCCCACTCAAATAATGAGATGGAGGCCCTTCGCTTGGTTAATCAGCGTCTGATACGACAGAATAAAGAGCTCTTGAAGCTCTTGCAATGCCCTGAGGAGGCACGACCAGCCCAAGAAGGCCAGAATAACCCCCCTCACAGAGAGCAACAACATCTTGACCCCCTCAGTGAAGTTGGTGAAAAAGGGGAAAACAGTCAAACCTAGGGACAAGATACTCATCCACCCCCAAAGAACGGACGCAACAAAAAGGTGCAAAGTCAAAACATTGGGAAAGAAAGGAATGATTTTCTCCCCTATCAACAGGAGAGGAGGAAACAATACTAGGAGCAGCGCTTTAATGGCATCCAGCAAGAGCTCAGTTATATGAAGGAAACTGTGAAGAACAAAGTTCCGGTTACAATGGATGCCCTGGTGCAACAAACTGAGTCACCATTCACTGCAGGCGTGTTGTATTTTTCCCTCCCTCCAAAATTCAGGATGCCACAGATAAAAGCTTTTGATGGGACAAAGTACCCCGTGGACTACCTAAATACTTAGAAAAACTAGATGGAGCTCCATGGATACCAAGACCTAGTGCGCTGTAGAGCCTTCTTCATCACACTAAAAGGGTCAGCCCTGACATGGTTCAATAGGCTCCCCCCGGCCTCAATCTCCTCCTTTAAAGAGCTTTCTATATCCTTCGTATCTCACTTCATAGGGGCTCGGATAAACAGGAAGTCGAGCTACAACTTATTGAATGTGAAGTAAGGACCCCAAGAGAACCTCAGGTCTTATGTCCAGCGGTTCAACTTGGAGTCCCTGAAAGTGGATGTCCTAGATGAGAAGTTTGCCATTACAGCGTTTATAGTTGGTCTAGGCGTACAATCCAAAGATCTGATGTTCTCTATTTCAAAGAACCCTCAGGCAAGCATGGCTGAGGTATTGGCTAAGGCAGAAAAATACATAAACGGTGAAGAAGCCCTCCTCTCAAAGGTGGAAAGTTCATTTTTAAGGGACCGAAGTCCTAGAAAAGAAAAAGGGTGTGATAGGTCTCCAAGAAGGGACATAGATCGCTCCCCCAAAAGAAGGGGAGATGTCAAAGATCACTTAGGTCTACCACAGCCAAGTTACGCACTTCGACAGCTCCCCCCCACTCACCGCAACAATATCTCAGATCTTATATGAGGTGTAGAGAGAGACGTTTCAAAGGTGGCCACATTAGATGAAAGCAAACCCAGCAAAGAGAGATTCCACAAAGTATTGTGAATACCATAGAGATCATGGCCATCATATTGATGATTGTATCCAACTGAAGAAAGAGATTGAGTTCCTGATCCAGCAAGGTCAGTTGCACTGTTATGTAGCTCGGGATAATCAGGACTGAGCCCCTCCACCTCCACCACCTCAGCAACATGCTCCTATGTTGCATCAGCAACCCTTGGGCGAAATTAGAGTAATTTCTGGAGGGTTCGCAGGGGGTTGGGAGTCCAGTTCTGCCCGGAAGGCTCACCTTCGTAGAATCAGAGCTGGCGAAGCATTGGAAATACACACTGTGTCCAAGGCACCTTGGTTGAACACGACCATCACCTTTTAAGGCTTAGATTTGGAAGGCTTAATAGCTCGTCTCTGATTTATGAGCTGAAGGGTTCATTTCTTGTTCATGAGCTAAGGAGCCCATCTTTCGTTTATGAGTTAAAGAGCTCACTTTTTATTTATCAGTTGAAGAGCTCATCTCCTGTTTATAAGCTGAAGAACTCATCTTCAATTAATGAGCTGAAGAGCTCATCTTTTCATTTATGAGCTGAAGAGCTCATCTTTAACTTATGACCTGAAGAGCTCATCTTCCATTTATGAGCTGATGAACTCATCTTTTGTTTTATGAGCAGTAGAGCTTATCTTTAATTTATGAGCTGAAGATCTCATCTTTAACTTATAAACTGAAGAACTCATCTTTAATTTATGAACTAAAGAGCTCATTTTCCATTTATGAGCTAATGAGCTCATCTTTTATTTTATGAGCAGTGTAGCTCATCTTTAATTTATGAGTTGAAGAGCTCATCTATAGTTTTTTAGCTATTTCATAAATTTACACAAGGATGAATAAAAAACTTGTTGTTTTATTGAAAATATCCTTATTACAGGAGGAACTTACTAAAAGATTTCTTAAGGTGCTCTGCGTTCCACGAATGAGGCAAGACTTTTCCTTCTTCAGTCTACAACTCATAATTTTCAGGTCTGACTACCCTTGTTATGATGTAAGGACCTTCCCAATTAGGACCCAGCTTCCTATGGGAGGGGTCCTTTCTTGCAAGTAGAAGTTTTTTTAGCACTAAATCCCCTGCCTTGAAACTTTTGTGTCTTATTTTTCTGTTAAAGTACTTAGCTATTTTTCTTTGGTAGCTCTCTATGCACTACTGAGCTCTATCCCTTCTTTCATCCAAAAGATCAAGATTAAGCAGAAGCAACTCATCATTATGCTCTGGATCTGTGAACTCGGCCCTAGGAGATGGGAGCTTAACTTCAACAGGAGCTACAACTTCGGTTCCGAAAGCCAACGTAAACAGTGTTTTTGTGTGGTTGTCCGAGCTGTAGTTCTATAAGTCCATAATACCTCAAAGAGCTGCTCCACCCACTTCCCTTTCAAAGCCTCTAGGTTAGTCTTCAAGGCTGCATTTATGGTTTGAATGGTGACTTTCGCTTTCCCATTGGATTGAGGATGAGTAGAAGCCGAAAAGTAGTTTTTTTATCCCAAGCTCAGCACAAAACCTCTTGAATTTCGGATTATCAAACTGTCTTCCATTGTCAGAGATGATTGCTCTAGGAATTCTGAACCTGCAGACTATGGATTTCCAGGTGAAGTTCTGCACTTTCTGCTATGTAATTGTTGCCAAGGGCTCCACTTCCACCCTTGTGGTGAAGTAATCCACACCAATAATGGTGAACTTGCACTGTCCCACACTCACAGGGAGGGGCCCTAGAATATCTAAGCCCAACAGCTGGAATGGCCAAACGCTTACTACCATTGTTAGGAGCTTGGTGGGCAATAGGGGATATTGGCATACAGTTGAGAGACCTTACATTTCTTAACCACGTCTATGACATCTTTGAGCATGGTGGGCCAATAGTGTCCTTGCCTTAAAATTTTTCCTACCAAAGCTCGAACTCCAATATGATTGCCACATACTCCCTCATGAACTTCTCTAAGTACATAGTTCGCATCCTCGTCTCCCACACATTTTAGGAGAGGTGTTGAAAAACCTCGCTTATAGAGACTTCCCTGTAAGATAGAGAATCTGGCTGATCTCACCCTTAGTTTTGCCGCCTCCTTAGGGTCTGCTAGAAGGGTTCCATTCTGCAGGTAGTCTCAGATGGGGTCCATCCAACTTGTTAAATTTAGGACTAGGAACACTTCTTCCTGAATTCCTATTGATGGATTTGCTAAGTGTTCTACTAGAATCAACTTGTCCAAGTTCTCTTGAGAAGCAGTTGCTAAACTAGTTAGCACATCTGCCCTTGAATTTTTTGACCTAGGGAAGCGTTTGAATTTAACTTGCACAAATTTCTTGATTAGCTCTTGCACCCTTATAAGATACATAATCTTTTTTTCTCCTTTTGCCTTGTAAGATCCATCAATCTGATTTGTCACAAGCTGCGAGTCACTGTAGACCTCAAGCTGTTCTGCTTCCATTGAGTGTGCAAGGCTTAGTGCTGCTATAATTGTCTCATACTCTACTTCATTGTTTGAAGCTTTAAACCCAAACCTAAAAGCGTAATCAACGTCTATCTCATCGGGGGATGTGAAGATTAAGCCAACTCCGCTGCCTTGTGCATTGGCAGCCCCATCTAATGAGAGCCTCCATGTAAGGAGATTAGGAACCAGTTGTACCGCTTCCATGGGTTGGTTTGCTGTGAATTCTGCTATAAAATCCGCTAAGACCTGCCCCTTGATGGCTGCTCTTGGTTTATATCTAATATCAAACTCACTAAGCTCGATAGCCCACTTAACCAACCTTCCCAAGGACTTTGGCTTATGCAGCACTTGCTTCATTGGCTGATCTGTTGGTACTTCGATATTATGAGCTTGGAAGTATGGTTTGAGCCTTCTAGAAGTTGTGACTAAAGCCAAGACAAGCTTTTTCATCTTTGGGTATCTCTCTTCAGCCCCCTAAGAGCTTTACTACAGTAGTAAACTAGTTGCTGAGCTCTGTCTCGCTCCTTTACTAGTGATGCGCTGGTTGAGAAGTTTGAGACAACTAAGTAAAAGGTAAGTACTTCCCCTTCCAAAAGGCTAACCAGAACTGGGGGAGTGCTTGGATAGTCTTTCAAGGCCCTGAACGCTTCCTCGCATTGGGTATCCCATTGAAATGCCTTCTTTAAGATTTGAAAAAATGGTTGGCATTTGTCGCTTGATCTGGATACAAAATGGCTTAGGGCTGCTATTCTTCCTGTCAAATGCTGAATTTCTCTAGTGTTAGAGGGCGGCTTCATATCCATTACTGCTTTAAATTTAACTGGATTAGCTTCAATCCCTCTACTATTGACTATGAAACCAAGGAATTTTTCCGTAGACACTCTGAAAACACATGTGGTAAGGTTGAGCTTTATTTTGTACTCCTTGAGGACCCGAAATGACTCTACTAAATGCTCTACATGGAGCTCTGCCTTTAATGATTTTACCAGCATATCATCGATGTACACTTCCATTATCGTCCCAATCTGTTTCTGAAACATTCGATTTACCAAGCATTGGTAAGTGGTTCTTTCATTCTTCAGTCCGAAAGGCATTACTTGGTAATAGTATG